TTGTACATATTTATGGGGTACAGAGTTATATTTCAATACATTTATACAATGTGTGATGATCTAATCAGGGTGATTAGCATATTCATCATTGCAAACTTCTTATGACGTTGTCTTTGTCTTATGAACATTCGATCTCCTCTCTTCTGGTCGTTTGATAACATGCAGTAAATCATTGTTGATTATAGATGCCTGGGTCGACCGTACAACAGTAGAATTTATTTTTTCTATCTAGCTGTAATGTTGTATCCATTTACCAGCCTCTCACTACACCCCTTCCCCCACCCCACGTTTCCTGCCTCTAGTATTTGTCTCATAAGTGCCTGGCTTATTTCACTTAACATAATTTTCTCCAAGCTCATCCATGGTGCTGTGAATGGCAGAATTTCATTCTTTTTCATGGCTGAATAGTATTCCATTGTGTAGATATACCACATTTTCTTCATCCAGTCATGCATTGGTGGACATTTAGGTTGGCTCCAGATCTTAGGTATTATGAATAGAGGTGCAATAAACATGAGAGTGCAGATATCTCTTTAACATGACGATTTCCATCCTTTTGGGTATATACCCAGAAGTGGGATTGCTGGGTCATACGGTAGTTCTACCTGCAGTTGTTTGATAGACTGTTTGTAGACTATCTGTAGACTGTTTTCCATAATGGCTGTACTGATTTNATTTCAATTTGATTATATAAAATGGAAATGCATAAAAATGTCAACAGTGGTGCTTATCTCCGGGTGGTGGATTTTGGATGGGTTTTTTGTTTGTTTGATTATATTTTCTTTTTTTCTATAGTGAAAGTGTATTAACGTTACAATTTATAAAAATAATCATAATCAGAACAAATAAGGCATTTTCACTGAGCATATAAACACACACAGGGTAAAATATCAAATAGTAGAGAAGGGCTTCTAATGAGAAAAAACAGTCCCCTTCAATTCTTTTATCTGTTTCAACTGATTGTTGAGGCCACATCAGAGCCGGCTCCCTAGTGGCTTAACAGTGTTTTCTTTGGCCCACGCATAGTATTTGCAAAGGATGTAATTAATTGCCAATATTTAAAACAGCAGGAGCTTTTATGTAAAATCTGAGTTCTGGCCAGTCTAAAAATAATCAGAAGATTACCGCATATCATTAATTGATCCTGGAGTTAAGTAGTCGTTTCCTGTTCAAGCAGATGGTTTTACTGCATTTTGCCATAATTCCCACCAACTCCTATATTTTTCTAATTTTTTTAATGAAACATATTGATTGTACATATTTATGGGGTACAGAGTTATATTTCAATACATTTATACAATGTGTG